TCCACACTTTTTAAAAATCTTCTGTTCAGCTTCTTAACTTTCTGATTTCTTCTCTTTTCTTTGGCTTCTTGGCACTCTAAGAGCAATGTTCAGAGTCTCTTTTGACATCCATCTAGGTCTTTTTTCCTCTCTAGCTTTGTATGTCCTTTTGCATTCTTCCTAGATGATATTCTTGATATCCTCCCACAGCTCATCTGGTCTTCGTTCATTCGTGTTCAAGGTTTCACACGTGTTCCTGAGAGGTTTTTAATTTCAGATGGTGTAGACTTAAGGTCATATTTTAGTTCTTGGAAATTTGTTTTAACTTTATTTTAGTTAGGTTTAATGTTTAATTTCTTTAGCTCACAGTGTTAAAGAACATGAGTAGTTGATTGCCTGTTCCACAGTCAGTACTTGGCCTAGATTTCACAGCTGATATTAAGATGCAATGGACAGAATATTGTATGATTTAGCAAGCATCAAAAGAATATGGGAGGAATAAACAGTCTGTCCCAAAAAAGAATTGGCTGACCAGAAGAATTTAATGAAACAGTACATGATCAAGAAGCAATGGTGATAAAGGAAAAAATTCAAACACCTCTGAAGGCATAGAAAAATATAATTTAAGGCTATAAATATTTCTTTTTGGTTTTAAAACTGTGCAGTGAATTTATTTCAATATCTCTTATCTCTAATTAGAATCCCTAGTGAGTTACATTTTAGGCTGCTAACCAAAAGCTCAATTGTTTAAACCTACCAGTTATTTTTCAGAAGAAAGATGAGGTAATATGGTCCTACTAAGATTTACATTTCCAATAAAGTAATTTTACTTTGTCTTAGAATATTGAATCAATTTTGGCAGTGAGTTTGATTATATTTATTAGGCTAGAAATAGAAATGTACACTCCCCCCCCTTGGAATGTCTGAGAGAACTCAAGGTACTCTTTCTCTGTTGGAAAATAAAAGTAAAAACTGAAGTACATCAGACATCTAATTAATTTAATTTTTCATAAAAATTAGATTGTTGAATTGAGTTAAGAATTTGAACCTTAGGTATAAAACAATGGATACAAAGATCATTTCAGATAAAGTAAAATTATTTAAAGAGAGATTGTTCTTGGGTCTTAACCTGTTTTGTCTGGGTAAAATAATAGGATATACTCACAGGGATACTGACATAATGAGAGAAGAATTACTCAGGAGTCATATTATAAAAAAAGAAACGGAATAAGTAAATCTTCTAATCAGCTCACTGATGAGATCTTATTTATCAGATGATATTTTTCACTGTACAGCAGATCATTTGGAAAAAATAATAGGAGAAAAACTACTTGGACATATTGGCAAGATAGTTTTTTAATTGCTAATGAATATGATAATTGGAACATATATGCAACTAGAAATGGTAAAACTTATCACACCAGATACTTTCTTACTTAAAAAGAGAAAGCAGAAGAAGACATAGTACCGTATAATCCATTGACAAACAGCTCTGGATTTGGAAGACTTTGGATAATGGGCAGCCTGGAAAGATCCAGATGATCCAGTTAACAAAAAACTTCCGTCACAAACAGTGGCTGTGAAAACATGACAGTTAATATTTGGCAAAAGCAATCTAAATAAAAGAATTATTATATTGGAAAAAAAAAGCAATCTAAATGAAATTCAGAGTTTACTTCAAATCCTTTGTAAAATATTCATAATGGAATTAATTACTATGAAAGGATTAAATGGAAATTCATCACGTGTCATGTTTAAACTATATTAGCTGTAGTTAAATAGTTTTGTATAACCCAACACAGCGTCATTTAATAAAGTTCTCCAATTATAAATATTCATTTCTGCAGTATTTCTGTGTGCATTATTTTATATAGTAAAGAATTAAATATAACTGGATTATATACTTCCAATTTCAACATGCAGGAGAATGGACAATTTCCTCATGTTAGATTTACTGCCTCTGAATACCAACTAGGTCAGCTATGAATTGATTCCAATTTGAAATAATAACAATAATTTCAAAAAGGAAAGCTCTGGTGGCCTCATAGGTAGAAAGTTGTACTGCCAGCACCAAGGCAGGTGATTGGAATACAGCAGCTTCTCCAGGAATATAGATCAGCTATCTTCTCCCATGCAGTTTATAGTCTTCTAAAATAAACCGATGGGTCAGCTATGAGTCTGTTAAAACTTCACAGCAATAAAAAAAAGGAGAGAGACAGAGAGAATTTGAACAAATAATGGTAATGTTCTATTGGTCTTAAATTCTCCATTAAATTTAAGATAGATTGAATTTCAAATCTGTGCACACAATTATCATTTTTCTGGAGAAAATCACTGCAATAAATACAGGCAAATTGTACAATTGGTTCAGGTGATCTACAGAGAGTTTCATATGTCTTTAAACCTCATTGTATTCTTTAAACCTCATTCAGCCTGTTCTTTACAAATAGACTTTCTATTTTAGAGTCTTATTTAATATCTTTAATGTGTGCTTTTCCCCCCAATTATTTTCAACTTTTAATTGTTACCACAACTCAAACCGATTACTATCTAGTCAGAATTGACCTAAACTTGCACCTCCAGTGATTTGGTTGTAAATCACACAGGAGGAGACGGATCATTTTTCTCCTTCAGAGCTGCTGGTACATTTGAGCCCCCTTTGATAGGTAGCACAACTCCTATGAGCTATGTCAATGCAGCTCCCTTTAAGTATAATGGCATGTAAGTGTTATTGTGTATCATTGAGTTGGAATCGACTGGTAGCTGACCCTCCAGTGGGTTTTCAGAGGTAGTAATCACATGGGAAGAGATTGCCCATCTTTCTCCCAAGAGCAGCTGATGGATTTGAACCAAATGCCTTCGGGACTGCAGTGTAGAGTCTTACCGCGAGGCCACCAGAGCTCCCCATATAATAATCTGAGCTGTTTATTTAAAATGAGCTCTGGTGGCCTCGTGGTAAGAAGTTGCACCCAAAGATACACAGTTCAAATAAATTAACTGCTTCATGGGAGAAGGGTGAGCAGTCTCATGTGATTTTCTGCCTCTGAAAAGCCACAAGACAGGGGATGCAGGTCTTTAGGGGATGGGGTGAGGATATAATTTCTAAGTTTGTTTGGACTCGATGACACACAAGAAGAACATATTTAACACAGTACATTATAAGCTGTGTGTCATTGAAATTGTTGTTACTGAGGACCACTGAGTTAGAACCAACACATAGCTGAGTTTGTAGTGGGTTGTCAGGGGCAATCACAAGAGGAGATTGCACTTCCTTCTCCCGCAAAGCAACTGATGAATTTCAACCACATCCATTTGAGATTACAGCACAGCTTCTTACAATAGGCCACCAGAGCTCTTTATATTCTTGATAGCTGAATAATTTTTAACCACATTAAAGCCATCATGAAGGAAGAACAAAATGTCATGTTCTATAGCTTCTGGTGGTCTATTTATTACTGTTGTTGTTAGGTGCAGTCAGGTCAACTATGACTCTTAACAACTCTGGGAAGAACAAGTTAGGACCTTGTTCGATCTTGTGCCATCTTTACTTTCTCTGCCATGTTCAAGGCTATTATTGCAGTCACTGTGCCAAACTATCTGACTGAGGGTCTTCTTCTCTTTGATCATCTGCTCTTCCTACAATCTCCTCCCAAAGTGATTTACAGCCTCAGAAACCCTGGGGAAAGCCAGCTGTGAGAGGGTACATTTCCATTGATAAAAAGCACCAACATTTAAAAAAAAAAAAGTATCTTTTTCCAAGGACTGGTTTCTCCTGACAACATGCCTAAATTTTGTGAGACACTGTCACTATCCTTGTCTCAAAAGAAATACCCTCCATAAAAAGAAATAAAATCAATTTAGTAGTCACAATCTTAGGTCATTGACTACATACTTAGGTGCTTAGTTTTGTTGACATTATATTCTAAGCATCTGCCTCGTTTATCTAATTGGTTTTATTTCCTCTGTATTAGAAGCATTGCGAGATGGCAGAAAAAGGAAACAAGAAACAATTCTACCAAAATTAAATTGCTTATCTGGAAATTCAAGTGCTAGAATATACTAACTCAAAACGAAAGAACCCATTCTAACATTGTATATACACCAATTATGTCTGGTTTAAAATATAAATAATCATATGAAATTGACTTTTAAAATGCAAATAAGAAATAAATTAAGCATTGAGTAGCTTTTGAAAATTTGTTAAAATTCCATGGGTTTTGTTAAGTTTTTAATATTTTAAACCTAACTATGTTTATTTTAGAATATGTTAAGATTTGGTTGTAACAACAATGACCTAGGAATTGCACTGGAAGATGACTGTATACCCTCATTCCCAGAAGCTGGGGGTAGGTGGGTAGAGGGGGGAAAAACATGGACCAAACAGAACTAAGAAAGTGTGTGCCAGAGAAACAAAGATTAAATTCTAAACACTTCACGAAATAGACTAGAAGAAACACTGTGACTTTCTGGAAGAATAAAATCTCCTTATATAGATTACTTTAGCACAAAAGACAATTAAGGTAGATGTATCACAATTTCAAGATAAGCAGTAAAAGGATGTGAGTTTTAAAATGCAGAGATAAAGAATTTTCTAGCTCTGAAAGGAAATCTTCTTCCCCGTAAACTCCTGGACTAAACAATACCAAATTAATGGAACAACTAAGTCACAAGATGCTAAGATGATAAAGGTTAAAAAAAACACGAATTCTTATGTGGTATGACTTTGTGATCATAATCTATCAAGAAACTGTCTGCATTAGGCAATGAGAAAACTGCTTATCAGTGCACTAAGAACAACTACCACTGTAGTTCCAAAAAAGAATTTGTATTTAATATAGGATACTTATTCCTTAGCATTGTCTTTTCAGCACTCTAATACAATATTCAGTGTCTCATCTGACATTCATCTTGGTCTTTTCTTCCTCTTCTGCCTTTGTACTGATCTTTTGCATTCTTCACGGACAATATTCTTAATATCCTCCCACAGCTCATTTGGTCTTTGTTCATTGATGTTCAAGGTCTCAAACCTGTTCCTGAGATAGTTTTGAAATTCAAGTGGGATAGACTTAAGGTCAAATTTTGGTTCCTATGGATTTGATTTTACTTTCTTCAGCTTTAGCTTGAACGTCCATATGAATAATTGGTGGTCATTTCCACAATCAACTACTGGCCTGGTTTTCACAGATGATATTAAGCTTCTCCAGCTATTCTTTCTACAGATATAATCAATTTGATTCTTACACATATCATCAGGTGAAATTCATGTATATAGCCTGTATTTGTGTTTCTTATAAAAGGCATGTGAAATGAATAAATCATTGAATATGCAGAATTCTATCATTCTGTCTCCAGCTTCATTTCTGTCACCAAGTCCATGTTTCCCAGCTACTGATCCTTCTTTCCTATTCCCAATTTTTGCATTTGAATTACTCATTATTATCAATGCACCTTGATTGCATATTTGGTCTATTTCAGACAGCAGAAGTTGTAAGAAATCTATTTCCTCCTCTTTGGCTCTAGTTGTCAGTACATATATTTGAATGATAATGGTATTCATTGGACTTCCTTATATGTATATGGATATTATCTTGTCACTCACCACATTGTATTTCATGATGGATCTAGAAATGACTGTTTTGATTATGAAAGCAACCCCATTTTTTCCTCAAATTTGATCCCTAAAATAGTAGACCATATGATCATCTGATTAAAAATGTCCCATGCCAAGCCATCTCACTTGGAGAATACCTAGTATGTCAATATATGCATTACAATTCTTTCTTAACAATGCCCAATTTTCCTACATTCATGCTTCTCACATTTCACAATATATTCACTAATGTCTGTGTACAGCTGTTGCTCCTTCTTTGTGTTTCCATATCTGAGATCTCAGTCACAATTGCCATGTCTGCTATGTGCTCTGCTGTAAATAGGGTTTTCGAAGGCCAATTATTTCAGAAGTGGGTGGTCAATCCTTCTTCCTACTCTATCTTAATTTTTTAACCAAAGGCTAAAAAATTTTGACTGTGGATCAAACAAACTGTGGTTGACTCTGAGAAGAATGGGAATCCCAGAACATTTGATTGTGCTTATGCAAAACCTATACTTGAACCAAGAGACAGTCATCAGAACAGAGTAAAGACACTACATGATTCAAAACTGGGAAGGGTGTCCACCAGGCATGTAATCCTTTTCAATCTGTGTGCAGAAGAGATCATCAGGGACACTGGGCTGTACAAGGAGGAATGTGGCATCAGGATTGGTGGAAGATTCATCAACAGTCTGCATTATGCAGCTGACAAAACCCTGCTTGCTGACTGAGGAGGAGAAGCGGTTGCTATAGAAGGTCAAGGACTGCAGCCTTCAATATGGATTGAAGCTCAACATCAAGAAAACAACGATTGTCACCACTTGGCCAATTGGCAGCATCATTATGGATGGTGAAGAGATTGAGATTGTTAAACTTTAGTTTGCTTGGTTCCACAATCAACACTCTTGTTATCAGGAGCCAGGAAATCAAGAGAAGAGTTGTATTGGGAAAGTCAGCTGTCAGGAACCACTCCAAAGTACTAGAAGA